GTGTTTGTAGGAGAGTGCTTCCAAGGGAAGGCAACTGCCCTTCTCTGACTCTGTAACCTGTACGTTGCATAATGGGGAGTAGACAAGGGAGGGAATGTTTGCAGCTGTAAATTGGGGCTGCGGTGTGCAAGTCCACCGCCTTGGCTGCAGTCGTCGTCGCCACGACTGGACATGTAGACTGTCAGAAGGTCTGGCTGTGAATGCTTACATTCGCCCGGCAAGCCTGCGCAAACCTGACACAGATTGCAGCTGGCTGGCCCGAGGCCTTCCACTAGTCTTTGCAGATCTTTGCAACGGTGCATCGGAGGTAGTGCGCCTTGTGAATCGCCGAGTAGCCACCTCAGCTTAACTTGTGACTTAATTCTCGATGTTTCAATCTGCACCGCCTCCTCGCGTACCATTGGATCATGATAGCGAGTCTGCAATCTGAGCGGATTCCCGAATTACGTCCCGAGCACAGTACACTAAGTACACGTCCTGCCCAGGCCTTGAGGATCTTAGCTCAGGACTCGCTACCATGGCACAGTGCGAGCTATCGGGTGAAAGGCTGAAGGAGCGCTTAAAAGCACCAGCATAAGCCTCAAGTATGATCAGCATTTTCTTCCCGGTGCTTTGCGCAAGTCGTTGTGGCGGCCACGGGCGGCACGGCGACGTCAACTGCTCTTTAATATCATGCGGGAAAACGCTTGAGTCTGAAGCCACTCCAGCTGAACGTGCCTTTCTGTCTTTGCCTTTCTGGATGTGCTCGTGTCTGTACCTCTATGCGCACTTGGAGTTTTACCACCGACTCGTATGCACAAAAAAGGCAGGTCGAGATGTAAAGGCGAGCCAGGCTAGCCATGGCCTTGCAACAGATCCTTTGGTTTTCACATGTCGGTTACGCACCTTCCATACTCATTCAACTTGGTTCCCGAGCCGAATCCTGGAGACTCAGACGGGCAAACCTGGAGCTCTAGGTTCTTGACCGATGTGAGATTACCCTCAACCACAGTCCGCCGACCCCTGGCATGCCTTGCAATGGATCCCTCAAGAACCAACAGACACGAAGAAGGTAGTTCTGCCACAGCCGCTGGCTCAACGTCCAGTGGAACCATCCCTTCCTGCCACCATGACCGCGTGGTCGGTGCTGGTGGTACTCGGTGCCAGGGCCTTGGTATTTTGTGCGAGATCTGCCGCTTGGAGATGCACTGCTAGGTTAAATGCGGCAGTGCTACCACCCTATATCCCCAAGCCCGAAGCCCAAGCCCTACAAGCCCTGGACATGTTCACTTGCATTGCACCACGCCCGTGGCTTCCATTAGCTTCCGCAGCTCTGCTTTGTCGAGGTCTTGACAGGAGCCAATGAAGTGAGGGCCCGGCCAACAGCTGTCCCCAGCCGGGAGCCCAATTGGCCCAGTCCATTTGCACTGGGCTTCCGTAGTAATGCTCGATATGAACTTTGAGGTGCCTAAGCAGGCTGTAGCTGAAAAACAGGTGCAGTTCTAGGCCTCGAAGAGGGCCGACCCTCCAAAGCAAGGTCCTTCCAAAAGCGGTGTGTTGTGTTGAGCAAGAGTCCACAACAAATTGCGGTCAAAAGTTTGCGTGCCCACTGCGATGTGCAGCTAGATCAATGCAATTTTCCTGGCCCGATGCCTACAGTGTCCATAGAGGCTCGGGCCTGGTGCTGGAGGCTGTCCATCATGAGGTGGACAAGGCTGGGCCTAAAGTGGCTGAGAGTCAAGCCTCACAAGGCTTCCCAACAGCCAGTGACCGCCGAAGCATCTTGTCACGGCCTGAATCCGCCAGCTCCCGGCCCAGAGCGGTTTTCATTGTTGCTGCCTTCCTACCATGAGTCGGACTATGACGATGATGGCTACTATGGCCATTGCGACCTTTCTTGCTATGAAGCGTGAAAGCCCGGAACTCTAAGCGTGTCGTCTTTGGCAGCCCCGCTCTAGAATCCTCAAAAGTTTAGGTACACTTCCAAAACGGTCCCCGGAGTCCCTGGGCCCCACTCGCAACTCACAACGCTGAAGCCCTAGTCACCCCGGGCCCCTGCTCAAATTACCCTCCACCTCCAAGCTATGCATTTATGTCTGTGCTCTCCAGACCCTGCTCAACAGACGGACCTTGCATCCTACAAACCCCCGTGCCCATCACTCTTCCCGGCCAGGCCTCGAGTATGGGCCAAAAGGTCTCCGAGTTGGAGGCCCAACTGCCCGGCCCCTACTGCAGCGGCCGTTGCGCATGGCAGAGTTCTCGACTTTCTCTGTCGATGTGGTGGAAAGCCGATTTCGCATCCCTGTTGGTGACTTCTGCTGGCATGCGGATGTCTTTTACTTTGCTTTGAACTCTGTTACAGTTGCCTTGACATCGTCTTATAAGTGTCATCTAAGTCTAAGTGCAGCTCTCGTTGTGAAACTCTGAACCCTATCAGCTGCATAGAATCAGAGTTCTTTAAGGACCTCCATAAAAAGGACGGCGGAGGTGCAGGCAGCCGAGACGAAGGCCGGGTAAGCTCTGAAGAGGAGCCCTTCACAAAGAGCTAACAGATCGAGTCTTTAGGGTTTAGGGTTTAGGGCTTAGGGATTAGAACCTGTTTCGCCCTGTGATTTCCCCTTAATCACCTTTAAGCTCAAGGTTCCCCTTAAACAGCACTGGCGGATGTGTGCCCTGTGCCAGGCCGCGCTTGTCAGCCTCAAGGAGAAGCCCTTTCCTCAGACACATTCGGCAGGGCTTCGGGTTGCTCGTGCTCCAGAGCCGCTTTTTTACTGGTGGGTGAGGCTCGTCTTCGCAGAGGAGAAGGAGGCCGCAGTGTGTGGAGCATGCAGCAATCCGGTCTGTCTCGCATGAGAATCCGAGGAGTTAGATCAGACTTGCCCGGGGGTCTTGTCCCTGACACCATTCGGCTGGGAAGGGGAGGGGAGGCTTCAAGGTTGCTATATATTATATATTACATGTATATTATATATGATATGTATATAATATATTCTATATTATATATTCTATATCATAGCGGCGCAACGGAAAGTTAGGGCATCTCCACCCTCTCGAGGCCGAGACGGAGGGCGAGCTCGAGGTCTCCGAGGCCTCGGCCTGCCCTTGAGGTGAAGGTAGCCCAAGGTAGCCTTGAGTACGGTTTGGGTTTTAAGTTCGGGGTTTCGGGCTTAGGGCCTAGGGTTCTATATAAAGATATATATATATATAATAGTTATTGGCCGAAGACTCCTCTTTTGCATCGGGGAGACCGGGCTTCGGTGCCAGGAGCACGTGAAGGACCTGGAGAAGCAGCTTGCCGAGGCGCCGCCTTCCCTGTCTTTCCGTGCCACAGCGTTAAACCGAAATCTGAGTCAGAGTCTCGAATTCAGTGGTTGGATCTTGTCCTACACAAGCTTCTTTTCCTCACCTCGTCGTCTCTGATGCCACGTCTTCAGTGAGTCTTCAGCTTCATGAAGCGGGCAAACAACAGTCGGTTTGCTCGCTGTTTTTGCTCCTGTCCCTCCCCGTCTCGTCACTGCAGGCTCTGCCACTAAAATCTACTGTTTGGTTCTCTCGCGCGCTCGCTAGCTCGCCCACTCGCACGGCCCTCGAAAGCCCACGTCTCGCAAGGGAGCATCGCGCAGAAAGGCATTGGAGGCTCGACTCCTTTTCGGCCGAGTGTTGCAAGAAAGCCCAAGCATCTAGCTGTTGACATGTGAGGTCTTTGTTGACACATGCGTACTGTGCTTGAGACAACGGCTAGCCGCTAGTTGCCCCAAGTCTGCAGCCGAACCTGAGAAAAACCAGGTCACTTCTCCCCAAGTCAGATCCGGTTTGAGTTCCGAGCGCAGGCCCAGACGAGCGGCTCGCGGTGGCCCCGGAAGGGAGCAAGGTTGATTGTGCCAGCACCGGACTTCCCCACAGGGTTTAAACCCAACATCACATCAACACTCCTGCTCGCCATTCACAGTATCACCTCCAGTAGAAGAGGTTTTGCCCAGCCTGGATCTCTCACCGCGACATGGACAAAGGTCTGGCAGAGGTCACAGCAAGGATGGCAAGGTGTCACAAGATGATTCCGAGAACAACAGGGAAGTGTAAAGAGCAAGCCAAAGAAACGTGCAGCCTCACCACAATTACAAGTTCAGAATACAGCAAAAATCAAGGTCACAACAGGAACTCCGCAAGCAGGATGTTTTTTTTTTGTGCAAGTGTCGTACTTCCTGATGATGCGAGAAGGAATAGCGTTATTGCCATGGCAAGCTCAAGAAGAGAACCGTCCCTGCATGGCACTGTGAGCACTATCATTCATATTGGCCGAAGCTTCTGCTATTTAGTTGTGTTAGCCAAAGACAGAAGGAGGCCCGAATGCAGAACCTCTTTGCGATGTCCGTGGTTCCACTCTGCCTCCGGCACCCTGCGCCCACTTTGATGGAAAGTCTCAGGGCGCTGTCCTTCCTGCAGCTGGACTCGGTCCTGCCGCCACTGGTTCTGTCTCAACAGCGCGCTGCTATCCTTGACTTGTCATCAGAGAAAACCGGCCCGGACCGCTGAATGCAACATGTTCATGGCAGGAGGACGATCTCGCCGCCACTCAAAAGGAGCTGGCCTGCCCGGCATTTTCTGGTGGCGTAAAGCAGGTCTTAGATTTCCTGCTCAGTTCTGTTGTTTGGTTTTGAAGCTGGCGGCTTGATGTTTGCGGTGCCAGGTCTAGGATGCATGCCCGACTGCAACTGCAGCATGCTACTTACCTTGTTCCAGCTTGCATGTATTACCACTGACAGCTTTGCAGCTGTGAGTATGTTCTTAGCCGTTCTGTCGGATGTTAAGCTGGACATAGATGTAGGGCAGGCCCTGTTTCGGGTTCCATCAGCATTACGCAGTGGCGGACTTGTCTTAGTACATTTAAACGAGAGCTCAGAGGCACCAAGATGATCGAGTTGTGACTTGTCATGAGCTGATTGCGTCACCAACTTTCCGCCGTAGACCTATCGCCATACTGACAGGGTCGCTGTGTCTTGCTGCCATGACGCCTGTTGTGTATGGCCTCGCGTCTTGCTGCTCGCGTTGCATGGGTTGCAAAGCAGCGCCAGTGGCAAGATGCACTGTCCCTCCTAGCGCCGTTGAGGCAGCAGCTGGACGAACCATTAGCAGGTTCAGCCGCGCATGCCCTGACCGTGGCGTGCACCGCCACAGCGACTGCCAGTCTTCGATGCCTGTCATGGCAAGTGGCCCTGGAAGTTCTTCAATCCCTGCAGCCAGACGCTTGGGATCAGGTGACCTTCTGCACAGCCCTCACTGCCTGCGACCGTGGCCTGCAATGGTGCCTGGCTTTGCAACTCCTCGGACGCATGGACAAGGATGCTTTGGACGTGAATGACTTTGTCGCCTCTGCAGCCATCAGCGCTTGTGGAAAAAGTTCTTCCTGGACCGTGTCGCTGCAATTGCTGGAACAGGTCTGTGTTGGGGAGTCTCTGGAAAGCTGGGGGATCAGCATCAATGCGTCCATCAGTGCACTAGCACATGGCCAACAGTGGGCACAATGCCTCGACCTTCTCAGAAGATGCATGGAGGCTGGATCGAGTCTAGGCACCCTAAGAGCATCTGCATCATCTAGGGACTCTGCCGAGGAGAGCATGGCGAGCCGTGGCACGTTCCCGGACGTGGTGGCCTTCAATGCCACCTTGGCCGCCTTGTCCAAGCAGGCCAGGTGGCCGCAGGCTCTCAATGTGCTGCTTACCTCATAAGACGATGACGTTCCAGACATGGCTTCTTGAGGTCGTGGCGTTTGTGAGCCGGTAGAGGGAGACTCAGTCGCTCTCTCTCTCTCTCTCTCTCTCTTCCCCTCTCTCTCTCTCTTCCCCACTCTCTCTCTGTCTCCCCTCTCTCTCTCTCTCTCTCTCTCTCTCTCTCGCTAGCTCTCCCTATGCATGAGCCATCGGAAGTGCAGCATCAGAACCTCGACTCCTTTAACTAGAGAGTTGGCCAACCCGCATCTGAGGCTGCATGACATGTGCCAGTCCAGATACCAGCCAGACGTCGTGAGCGCAGCTCTCGCTGCAGTTTGGGCTACTGACCAACGTTTGATTTAGCTGCTTGTGGTAGTGGCACTGCTACTCAACGTTACCCGGAGTGGAGCTTTATAGCAAGCAGCTCGGTTCATGGTCACTCCGTTTTCTCCGATTCGATTGAGGCAGACAGAAAGCAAAAACACCTTGGCCCCGACTTTAGGCCCAACCTTGGGGTTGATTTACTTGAGATGTCGGCTCAGAGCCGAACAACTTGAAGTTGGGCGGGGGTGCAGGGGGCCTGATTCAGTCAAGTCTCTCCACGCTCGCGAAGATAGCCTTTGCGTCCTAAAGCTATGCGAAGCCCGATCAACTTGACCCGGGATGTCCGAGTCTCGCGCTCGGGACCGCAGTTCACACCGTTCGAATTGAAGATTGTCGAGGCAAATGCCGCTGCCAGCGCATGCGAGCGCAGCTCCGCCTGGCAGCGGGCACTGGCGATCCTGCACGGGGGACTGCTGGCTGCAGCAGAGTTAGCGCAAGTAGATTTCAGGGGCCCCCCTCGATTTAGTTAGGCCCCCCCTTGCCCCTTTTGGGGTAATAATGCCACCGTCAACCCATTAGATTACTATTCCTAGGGTCCCCCCTACGCTTCACCGATATATCACTACTACT